TAAAACTATTTGTAAACGTGTCTTGTGTCTTTGCATATTTTTAGTAATGTGACATTTTGGGTTAATTAATCCCACATCTGTGTTAATTACCAAAGTTGCTGATCCAAAAAAATAACACTAACAAAGCAATCTGCAACAAGTACATGTTAATATTCTGACATCTAAAGCTTCGTCTCTGACTCTCTGATAGAAAACCTTTGGAAAAATATAGAAAATTTAGGATCATAGGAAAATAACGGCCAATCACATTCAATGTACAGACATGGGCCAAATGGATTTAGATGTTCTGGTAAACCTTTAAACAGCATCTGTGACTAAGGAGAGCCCCTGATTCTCTCTGACTCCTCCAGTGAACTATGTGACACAAAAAGCCTCAAATACTGTATAAATGACCCAGTCCCCTAGCTTCCTCAACCCAGGCAGAGCTATTTTAAGATGTGGCGTACATGCAATCCTGCATAAACAAATACATGCTGTGTAAACAACAAACATAATAACTGCTACACTTCACTTCATCCTATCTTGTCTATCTGCAGTCTCAAAATATTCTTCTTACATTTTCTTTCAGTCTTCACTTATAAGCTTCTGGCATATATACTATTAGTATAGTACATTAGTAGTAGGAGAACATTATTAATGGCAGAGCCAAAACAAAAAATCCCACTTATTTATTACTTGAAAATTGCCTTTTAAGAATAAATGGCCCTTCAAGGGTTCCCATAGTTTCTGACCAATTTTAATGACTTTTCCATGATTTTCCAGTTGTATGAGATGAATGGATTAGGATTTTAAAAAACAAAAAAGCATTTTATAGAATATCCCACTAGAAACAAGTAACTATCCAGGCAAAAATACTTAAAACTGAGTATAAATAAAAAAAAATAGATTGACTATCAAAAGTTCCAATACAATTTAAGCCTGGAAATCACACTTCACAGTTCCATGGGAACTCTGTGTTTAAAAAAAAATCACTGATATGTCTTTTGAAGCAAAACTGAACTGAAGCTAAATAATTATAATTAAATAATATGAAAAAAAATTTATATGAAATATTCTATTCTTCTAGTTAAAGGCACAATATGTAAGATTTTTTTATTAAAATATCCAAAAACCACTAGAACAGTTTTATATATTTTTCTGACTTGTGTACTTACATTATCCCAAATGTTTCGAAGAATGTTTAAATCCAGAGAAATAAGCAATTTTAACTAGTGACACGGAGCGTGTCCATAGTGTCATTCTGTCTCCTGCCAATGACGTCATAACCCCTCGATTTCCGGTTTTGTTTTGTAGAAAACATGGAAACACCAAAGACGCTTTAATATGTTGTGTGTTTTATTAGACCGGTGACGACCGCACAGAGTAGCATTATAACAGAACTTTCAAATGTATCTGATAAAACAGCGCTGCTTACTTCCGCTGCTTTCCGTTAGGAGCGGAAGTGGTCGACTGTGGCATAATAAAAGCTCCGCTGCTTTCGAGCCGTGTGTCGCGCTCGTTCAGTGGCCTTGTTTCTTCATACCACGATGTTAATACATCTTACATTAGCTCATCCATGAACATGATTTCTGCCCGAGTCCCATCGGATTGCTTCGGCTGTGGGGATGAAGACGACAACTCCCATGATTCCACACCCAGTCACGGCGTCATCTAACTACGTCTTTGTTTCTTTGTTTGTTTTGAACACGTGCCCTCTAGCGGCAAAAAATTACATATTGTACCTTTAACGTTAACATTTTTAAATTTTTGTGGAAAATTCATGGATGTAATGAAATTAATCTCCACCAATAGACTATACATTTATACAGCTGGGTGGGTACAAATACATGGGGCTTGGTCTGCATAAATGTAGTACAATGATACACCAAAATATTATATGCACGGGTGTTTTCTTTTTTCTTTTTCTTTTTTAAAGACACATAGATCATGTACAGAAATTGTTGAACATACAATCCACATATTTACTATTAACTCAATAATTATTAAAGTACCGACCTGAACCTTCTGAAGCAAACACATGCATTTCTTCCTGATGTCTTCATAAGGACACCGTTTGGAGAGCATGAGGACATGAGTCAGGAGAGCGTTGAGATCACTGGACAGACTGTCATCCATGGCTGGGGGAGAGGAGGACTGCGGGTCCGGTATCGGCCCCATGGTCTCTATTCTCTTCATCACCTCCTGGTGAATGAGCTCCATTGCTGCGTGTCTGGAGCTCGAGTCTCGACTGCCCAGAGCATCCCACCTTCCCGCAGCATCTCTCACATCCATCACTGTAACAGTCTACTATTCTTCAGTTATACACCTGAATGACTGAGCCATGCATAAGACAAAAATGTGAGCCAATTATTAATATAGCTAAAATAATCCTAAACCACCAATCATCTCTGCTTCAAGCTGGCAAAGGAATTCTGCAAATCCCTCCAAAAATGTTCCATATTATCCTGCTAGTATAAACAGACTTGCAAGTGCATGTCTTAGCAGGCATTATACGAATGATGTGTATTTATAATGTTCTGAATGCTAT